TGGGGCCTGCCCTCTGCCACCCAGGAGCAGGCCTAAGCCAGCCAGTCGTTATCTCCCGAGGGGTCCCATACTGCGAGAGTGCACAGGCCGGGCTGAGGGACCCCCATTCCCTCCCAGTGCACATATTTTTGTGCACCAGGCCTCTAGTGTTATAATAACTATGTATGGTGTCAGGTGGGTGTGAGATTTATCAGGATGACCACTTAGTAAGTTAGGTAATGTCTAATCACTGGAGTGTACACCTGAAACTAATATACTATTGTATGTCAACTGTAATTGAAAAATAAAAAGGATTTAAACATGAAAAAATGTATTATTCTAAATGTCCTTTAGAAAATTGATTATTTAATTAGCCCTGCAGGATCTCAGTGTTATTTATTTTATTTTATTTTTTAAAATATATTTTATTGATTTTTTACAGAGAGGAAGGGAGAGGGATAGAGAGTTAAAAACATCAATGAGAGAGAAACATCGACCAGCTGCCTCTTGCACACTCCCCACTGGGGATGTGCCTGCACCAAGGTACATGCCCTTGACCGGAATCGAATCTGGGAACTTTCAGTCCACAGACTGATGCTCTATTCACTGAGCCAAACCAGTTAGGGCTCAGTGTGATTTATTATTCTAGGATCTAGAATTAAAGCCTCTAATAATACTAAATGTTGGTCAGAATGTGGGAAACGGGATGCAATTTCCTCTAAGTGTGGCTATATATGTATCAACTACTAAGCTTTTCTTAAAAATTGATTTTAAAAAAAATCTTGGAATTAAGCTTATTTTATTTTAAAGTATCTTATCCAGAAAGACAGTGCTCCAAAACTGCTTGATAACCATAGTTGCAATTACTTTGGAAAAGTTAAGTGTGGTGATAATAGAAAACAGACCAAGTTCAATAACTTTCCACTCTGGTGACAATTTCACATTCAGGTTACAGCTTTTACAGATAAATATTACCTTAAAAAAGTTTTCTTCACACTGAAATGGTCATAACTTCTTGCTCAAATGAATTAAATTTTGATGACTATTTTAGTCGGTAGCCCATAAAAACCTGCTGAGTCATATGCTTTGCACTGTGACCCTTGAAAAGGAAATTCACATTTAGGAGTAATTCCAGGAAGGTCCTACAGATGGCACAATACTGTAATTACAGTATTTCTTTACTTAAACTAAGAACTTCCACTTTGTCAAGCACTTATTTTTCCGCCTTTAGACGTTGTTTTCTTCTGAGAAAGAAATCTGGGTAAGTAAGCAGGCTTTTGTAGCTTTTTCAAATCACGGCATAATTACTTCAAACAAGCAAGAAAATGCTAATGATTGTCTAGGAAATAGGTAATGTTTCTTTGGCATTTTTGCAAGATGATTTTAGGTGTGTGTGTTTTTTTAAATGTTGCAAATGTCCTTTTAAATATACAAGAAAGGAAAAGACCGGACTGTCCCCCAAAGGTACAAAAATAGCACGTGTAGTCATAGTTAAGGGAGAATCTAACCGATGAGAATTATTTCTTCTGCTTTTGTCTACTTCATTTTCTCTTTTCTTTAGTTCCTTGTTCTCAGTAACGTTTACAGTACTTTATGCCACTGCTATGGCACCTCTTACGTGTTATGTATCTTTATAGTAGGCATGAGTGTTTTATGTCCCCTGTCACATAATTCTATAATTGCTTGTTTGTATCTGCCACTAATTTATAAGCATTTGGAAAGCAGGGATTATGCCAGTGCTATTCATATTTCTTTCCCCAGCACCTAATGCCCAGCAAAGACCTGGCACATACTACACTCTGAATAAACAGTTATTAAATGAAGGAAGTCGAAGGCACTGACCGAGGACTTGCCTTTCTCTGCGTCCCTCACCTAAACTTTGACAAATAAAGCAATATTTCTCTCGCACACTTGTTGACTCGGTTATGGAATCACTCTTACCTCAATGTTTTTCTTCTCTCCCCTTTCTTGTAGTCTTAATTTTCACAGATCCTATCCACTAGGGTTTCTTTCTTGAAATAGAGCTTCTTCCATCTGTCTTTTCCCTCCCTCTTTCATTCCATGCATTAAAGAAAAAGAAAAAAAAAACAACAACTTTTCCTCCTACCTCTTTTTTACTTCCTGGGGAAAAAAAAGTAGTGAACTCTGTAGTCATCCACTCTCATCTCCCATTTTCCTCTCTTTTATTTTTTCTTAAATATAAAAGCTCCTGGCTGGTTTGTTAGGTGTATACACTGGTGCTTGAGGGTATAAAGGCCCCCGGAGGAATACTACCTTTTGCGGGTAGGGTGCTCTAAGGGTAGCTGATCAACTTGCTCACACAGCGGCTAAGTTTCAGTCCCCTGACCACAGACACCAGAGAGGAACCTCTCGGTAGGTTCTCATTCATAAATGTCCATTATCGAGCATCATGCGGAAGGAGTTCTTTCTTTGTACAAATAATACAAGCATTTTTCTTTAAATATAAACTGTTTTTATGTTAGCTGTATTTTAAGACAAACCTTTTTTGATTTATAAAAGATGTTCAAAATTAGAAATTTTGGAAATATACAAAAAGCATAGGAAAGAAAATTAACTTTATCTAGGATTCAGAAAGCCAGAGATAACTACTATTAGCATTTGATATATTTCTTCCCGTTCTTTTTGCCCCTAGGCTTTGCTTATATATCAGGTTTTCCTCATGTTTTGCAAAATTAGAGTCCTATCACATATACAATTTTGTATTCTTATATTCACCTAACATTATATTGTAGGCATTAGTTTTTTCCAAAAGTGCAATATTTGAGACAGCATGCTATTCATGTTATGAGTATGCCATAATTGATTAAACCATTTTCTACACAAGGTTGACTTTTCATTTTTTTGATTGTTTCTTTTGCTGTGCAGAAGCCTTTTAATTTTATAGAGCCCCACTTCTTAAACAATTTTCCTTTTTGTTGCCAGATCCAAAAAATTATTGCCAAGACCAATGTCAGGTTTTCTTCTAGAAGAGCCTGACATTGTGTTTTCTTCTAGGAGTTTTTTTTTTTTTAGTTCTTAAAAGTTAAGTTTTTAATTTATTTGGAGTAAATTTTTGTGAGTGGGATAAGATAGGCATCAAATTTCATTCTTTTGCATGTACATATACAGTTTTTCCAACACCATTTATTGAAGAGACTGCCATTTCCCAATTGAGTATTTTTTACTCCCTTGTCAAATATTAGTTTGTGCCTGGATTTCTTTCTGGGCTCTCAATCCTGTTCCATTGGTCTATGTGTCTGTTTTTATGTGCACATTATACTGTGTTGATTACTATAACTTTGTAATATAGTTGGAAACCAGGAAGTGTGGTGCCTTCAGTTTTGTCTGTCTCAGAATTGCTTGGCTATTTGGGATCTTTTGTGGTCCCATAGGAATTTTTCAATTTTTTCCCTATTTCTGTGAAACATATCATTGAAATTTTGATAACTATTGCATTGAATATATAGACAGCTTTGGGTAGAATGGACATTTTAACAATATTGTTTCTTCTCAACCATGAATGCAGGGTATCTTTTCATTTATTCGTGTCTTCAATTTCTTTCATCAATGTCTTATCTTTTCAGTGTATAGGTCTTTCACCTTCCTGGTGAAATTTATTCTGAGATATTTTGTTCTTTTGATAAAATTGTAAATGGAATTGTTTTGTTTATTTCTTTTCCAGGTGGTTTGTTGTTAGTGTATAGAAACACTGTTGATTTTGTATGTTGGTTTTGTATCCTGCTACTTGACTGAATTTGTTTATTAGTTTGTTGTTTTGTGGAGTCTTTAGGATTCTCTACATATAAGTTCATATCATCTGCAAACAGAGATAATTTGACTTCTTCCTTCCCAATTTGGATGTTTTTGTTTCTTTTTATTACCTAATTACTCTGGCCAGGACTTCCAGTGTATTATGTTGACTAGAAGTAGTAAGAGTAGCTCTTGCCCAGCTTTTACCTAAGAGTGTTCATTATTGTGTGATGAAGAGGGGAGGATAGTGGCCGGCAGAAGGAAAACTCAGTGTTGTGATCCACTCACATCAGCACCACTGGGTAATTACCTGGTTGTTACTCATTCTTGGTATTTGAATGAGAGACAAACACAAAGGGACAAAACATGTTCATACCTTTTGTCATGGAGTCTGTTTTCCTGAGAAAAAACTTGAATACACTGGGTTTTCCTTACTACACCTCAGTTATGTTTTCATGAATGTAGATGCTTTTGGATCCTGCCATTAATTTTCCATCTTTCTTAGTTTTAGGTGGCAAGGTGGGTTTTCAAGTGTTTCTGTGTTTTCATGGGTGTTTTGGTGGCCAATTGGGAGAGGCTGTAGGGGAAGAGGGGTGAGGGACTTTTAACCATATACCATTTAAAAAAAATTAAAGTATAATTAGCTTTTTTAAAAAAAATGCCATTTTGTGGGCAGAGGATCTGAATAGACATTTCTTCAAAGAGGACTTATAGAGGGCCAACAGATATATGACAAGATACTCAATGTCACTAACCATCAGAAAAATGCAAATTAAAATCACAATGAGGTGTCACAGCACACCTGTCAGAATGGCTATCATCAATAAATCAACAAATAACAAGTGTTGGTGAGGATGTGGAGAAAGGGAACCCTCGTGCACTGTTGGCGGGAATGCAGACTGGTACAGTCACTGTGGAAAGCATTATGGAGTTCCCTGAAAAAATTAAAAATGGAACTTCCTTATGATGCAGCAATTCCACCTCCAGTGTATGTCAAAAGAACTCCAAAACATTAATTCAAAAGAATATATGCACTCCTATGTTTATTGCAGCGTTGTTTATAATAGCCAAGTGCTCATCAACAGACAAGTGGATAAAAAAGCTGCCACACACTCCACACACACACACACACACACTACTTGGGCATAAAAAAGAATGAAATCTTAACCATTTGCAAGAGCATGAATGGACCTAGAAAGTATTTTGCTAAGTGAAATAAGTCAGTCAGAGAAAGACAAATACCATATGATCTTACTTACATGTGAAATCTAAAGAACAAAATAAGTGAACAAACAAAACTGAAACAGACTCATAGAAACAGAGAACAGGCTGATGGGTGCCAGAGGGGAGGGAGCTTGGGGAATTGGGCAAAAAGATAAAGGGACTAAGAAAAAATAAGTTGGCCAAAAATAGAAAAGGAAAGAAATGAAGTGGCCTGGTCCACTTATAATTATAGTTCTGCCACATTACAAACTCCCAGAGGTCAGGGATATAGTCTGTCACCAATGCCTAGAATAGTGCCCAAGCACTCAATACACATTTGCTTCATGTTTGCACATATTTAAATAATTTTATAATAAAAATAATTTAAAAGGAAAAAAAAAGCCATTTTGTAATGATATGTCCCCAACCCGGAAGAGTATTTACTCTTCCAACGAATGATTAATTGAAACCCTACTCATCTCATAACTATTTAACTATTTCCAATATATCCTCAGGTGATGAACAGCAGATCTTTTTGTTAATGAAACTGAACAACTAACTAGTCAAAATCTGCTCTGATTATTCCAGCTACACAAAGCCCTACTTAAGAAATGTTGCCTGTTCTTGTTCCCTAGGGGCTCCTAGATGTGTGTGTGTGTGTGTGTGTGTGTGTGTGTGCGCGCGTGCATGCAGATCAGATCCTGAATGAGGTCTAGCGAGCCTCAAAATTCCAACCATTTGTTCTGGTCACAGATATGGGGTCTGTGGTCTCGTGCACCTGCCAAGTAATCTCCATCAGTGATTGTCATGAACTTCAATGTCTATATTGTTCTCTCGTATATACAGTAGCTTTAGCCTGCCATGCCTCTGACTTCTCCAGAGTACTTATTAATATTTATCTATATTTTCCTGTTTTATCAGTGTGTTAATTGTAGGTACTTGATGTTTTCAGATGATCAGTGCTGAATCCCATCTCTCTGAATGTGTTGCTTCTGGTCTACTGTGAGTTGGGAAAACACATATCCATTTTCATGGGAATTGTGTCAAAAATAAGGTCCTGACTAAAAAAT